TGGGTGGGGACACCCCGCTGGGGAGGGGCTGGGCAGAGAGGGGCAGGGTGAGCAGGTCCGGCCAGGACACAGAGGGAGCCTCGCTGGCAGAGGGCACAGGGGTCAGGGCCCGTGGGGAGGCTGCGGTGTCCTGGGATTAATGAGGTCCAGCGGGGCTGGGAGAAGGGTGGGGGAGATGGACCCCAGGCTCAAGGGTCAGTCCCCTGAGGACTGAACTCTGCCCGCTCTTTCTCTTGCCCAATTCTTTCCTAAGAGTCCTGGGGAGTCACATCCTACAAACCACAGAATCTCATGAAACGGGTTTTTCTATTCACCTGTATAATGGGGCTCACCTTCCAGCCTGACTGTGGTGCAGCTCATGGAACAGACAGCAGACCCCTCCTCTTAACCCCAGCACCCCTTCCCCGGACTCCAAGGCTTCAGACAAAGCTTGGCTCTCTCAGCCATCTCTGAGCTAAAGAATCCCGGAAACCCACCGGTGACTGGTAAGCCCCGGCCTCCCGAGGTCCCGCCTTTGCGGGCTGAGCCAGTGCATCCCTTCCCTGCATGGATTCGTGATTGTACGTGCAGGCCCTGCCTCTCTGCAATGCATGAAACCAGCTGTAACCAGCCCTGGGGCACTCTCAGGAACTCCCCAGCCTGTGTTCGCTGGGCTGTGGGCACGCACACTGGCTCAGAATAAACCTCTTTCGATAGTTTGGTAGAATTTGGTTTTTCTGTCATTAGCTTTCAGGGCGCTGTCTGTCTCAGTGCTGAGTGTGAATGAGTGTGTGTGTGTATGACCTTGCATGTGTGTGAGAGGGAATGTGTGAGCACGTGTGAGTGTGAGCGTGTATGTATGTGAGCGTGTGAGTGTTCATGAGTGTGCATGGATGAGACTGTGTGTGTTGTACGTGTATATGAGTGGTGTGTGTGTGTGAGAGAGAGAGAGTGTGTGTCTCCTGCTGACTCAGACACACCATCCCTGCTCTGCCCTGTAAAGTAGGCCTGAGGCTCCCGGGCCATTCTCCCAGGTCCTTGCCCCTGCCCTGGGCCAGGCCACCATCCCAGCTCACTGGGCCAACGGCAAGGGCCCTGCCTCTGCAGGTGCCAGACATGATCCCACCACGTGGCAGGGCTGAATTCAACCATGGCTCTTGGAAAGGAACAGAGAGGCCTGCACAGGACTCATTAGGGACTGAGATGCGGCGGAGATCCTGCCACGCTGGAGGGAGGGAGGGAGGGCGCTGCCAGAATTCTCATTTCACACCTTTACGTTCATCCTGAGATAGGAACGGAGCCCCTCTTTATGGGGCAGAACCACACACCATATGTGGACTCTGTTCTAATGCTGGCACAGAGGGAAAACTGCTTAGTCAAAATTGCCCTTACAAATCACCCCCAAAACACAATGCTCAACGGTTCTCCAAAATATATACAGAACAGATGTAAACATATTCAGGAAGCAGAATACAGACTAAAATGAACAGCAGATAATAAATGGTGTATGTGTTAAATCTAACTTGGCATTCGATTTGATTTATTTCTCTCATTTTGTCTTGCAAAATGCATATCTTGGAATTCCTATAACTCAGGTGTGTATATGTTGAGAATCCAAAGTTGCAAAATCATGGAATGGCCAATCAGAGCCCAGGCTCCCTGAAGAGCACTGGGCAGCCTCTGCCTCGCAGGTGCGGAGTCTCACGTCAGCAGAACCAGAAAATCAATGACCACACGCCTCGCAGCTCCACAGTGAGGACTGCTGAGAGCTGAGGGGCCTCCTGGGCCAGGCCCTGCTCTGAGCACCTTCCACGCAGGACTCAGTCAGCCCAGCAGCCCCGTGAGGTGAGCTGGCTGCTGTCTTCATGTTATAGAGGAAGAAACAGAGACATTAAGGAACCTGTCTCAGGTTCTCTTAAAATTACAATTGAGGAAATTACGACAGTGAAAGAAATCAGACCTAACCGACTCCATCTTGCTTGTAATCTTTAAGCTGTCCTCGTTCATTCCTGGGCATAGGCCAAACTAACACGGGGAAGGAATTCAGTTCATGGTTTGACTGAAACAAAATCGATCAAGGCCCTTTCCCGAAAAGGCCCCCTTCTTGCCTGGGGACGGGTCTGCCTTTGCAGGACTAACAAATTAGCTACAAGATTAGAAATTATGGTTTAGGGGTCAGGCAGCCTCCGGCTCCAAGAGTCCGAACCTCCCCAAATTGCTCCTGAGAATAACACCATTGTTGTAAAACCTGAAATCAGTGCTTGATATATTCTGCAGACCCTGCACTGGATGATCAGCTGCCACCATCCAGACCGGTAATCTGGCCCAATCTGTTCTGCCATCGCACCCAGGACCAGCAGACAGCAAGAAAATCTCACTTCAACCCCCTATGATTCCATCTCCAACCTGACCAATCAGCACGCCCCACTTCCCAAGCCTCGACCCACCAAACTATCTTTAAAAACTCTGCTCCCCAAATGCTCAGGGACACTGATTTGAGTAATAAAACAACTCTGGTCTCCTGCACAGCGGGCTCTGTGTGAATTACGCTTTCTCCATTGCAATTCCCCTGTCTTGATAAATCAGCTCTGTCTAGGCAGCAGGCAAGGTGAACCCCTTGGGTGGTTACACAGGGAACACAGGAGTGACAGGGGAGTGGGGTGGGGCCTGTGAGGTCTGGATTCCTGCTCTGAACTGGCCACACTTGTGTTCAGTCCCCCACGAGATCACCTGTACACGATTCCTCTTGGTAGCCTCAGTGACACACAACTTGTGAGTGAATGAATGACTGAAAGAACCAACCAACACGTGTGGGTCACTGTCCTCAAGTGATGATGCTCTTTCAGCCAAGCTCACCCCACCCGATCCGGGTTGTCAGGAGAACATTCTCTGCTCAAAGAATTCTCTCCACTCTGCCAAAGACTCCCTGGGCCCGCAGAAGCCACGCCCAGGAGCCCCCTTAATGTTCGACATGGCTGAGTTTCCCCCGGTCACCAACGCCAGGCCTGCATGGCCGGGTTCCCTGGGAGCCTGTGGTGCTCTCTGGGGTCACGGAGCAGGGGCACCTGTGCGGCTCTGCCAGGCCTGGCTGCCCCCTGCTTGTGAGGGGCTCACTTCAGGGGCACTGAGCCTGTTCACTGGTCCCGTGGCCCTGTCTGGAGGTGCGATGCAGAGCCAGGTCCTGAAAAGAGATGGGCCCCCTGGGGGACTCTGGACTCTATTTGTGCCTTCCTGCCAGGAAAGACCCCAGGACCCGTCAGGTGGCCGACGTCTGCATCTTCTCTGATTATTTTATCCACGGTCACCTCGAGTCCGCGCTCCTCATCGAAGACACATGGGTGGGGCTCGCTGTGGGGCGGGCTGTGCCGCTGTCCTTCCCAGGCCCTGGAATTGTGCTGGTGCCGACAGGAGGAAGCCCAGAGCCTCACGGGGTCAGCAGAACCGTCGTCCTGGAAGCTCATGCTGAATGCAGTGCAGTTGGGGACTGGCTGCGATTATCAGAACCACCCAACATCATGCGGCAAACACGCTCACAGGGTCAGGACACAAGGGGCTGGGTCCACAACACAGTGTTCCGGTGACAGCTCCAGCCCCGCTCTGGCCACGTGTCTCGTAGGTGTGAAACTGTGGGGAACGTTCCCCCACACGTCTGCCCTTCCCTTCCCCTGCTTAACCCCTGGGGTGACTCCACCTGTGGGGGATGCTGCAGCTGGGGGTCTCTGTCCCCATCCCTCCCAGGCCCAGGCCTATGCTGAGGTCCCAGTGTCCCGGCCAGCAAGTGGCAAGTCCTGGGACCACCCTAAGCCATGGGAGCCCTCTGGTATCAGCCAGTGAGGAAGGGCCCTGACCAGGTGGCCTCAGGGTCAGTGTGGGACAGGAACTGGGAGCTGCTGTCAGAGGAAACATCTGAGGTGACCCCAAAGTCCACAGAAAACCAGAGAGGCCAGGGCAGGCTCAGTCCAGCCTCACATGGGCAGAGACCCCAACCTACCTCTCAACCCCTCTCCACACCTGCCCCCATATTCTGACACCTGCACCCGGGACGCCCTTCTGCGTGCGAATGGCTCCTGAAACTCGGCCTGTGCTGACGACTCAGGAACGCTGGGCTCTGAGCGGTTCTAGCCAGTCCCCTCCACCAGGGGCCCCAAGTCCCTCAGGCTGGGCTGAAGGGGAGCCCATGGCCGGTGAGGCAGGAGAAGCAGCTCTACCCTCAGGAGGAGACTCGCTCCCAAGCAGCCCTGGGCCCATCTTAGGCCATGGTGGGACCGAGGCTGGCAGTACCAGGACCCGAGAGCGCTGGGGCAGCCCGGGAAGCCAGGCCTTGGCGGATGGAGAGGCTGCTGCCCCGGGCTCTGCTCAGAGGCTCCTCAGCCTCCCCAGTTGTGTGCAGTGGGCTGACCCTCGGGGTCCAGGCTGTAAGTCCACTGGCCTCTGCCAGGGTTTGGCCAACAGAGGGCAGAGTCAGGAACTGGAGGAAAGAAGGAGGGGTGCCGGGTGGGCCCCATACCCTGAGATTTCTCACTGCGTCCTCCACAGCCCAGTGTCCCCGGGACAGCCCTCTGCGCCCCCACCTCCCGCTGACCTGGGCAGGGCCCTGCATACCCCCTCCCTGCCCCCCAGGGCCGTGGCTGTGGCTGTGGCTGCTGTCTGGGTGGCCCTGGGCCCTGCACCTAAACCTGCAGTGAACTCCCCCTGTGCTCTCCTGCCTCCCATCAAGTCACCTTCAGCCTCCCGAGGAGATCAGAGCAGTGGTGCCAAGGGGCCTGGGTGGGGTGGGGCTCCCTGTGGGCACCGGCTATTCCAAACCATGGCCCTGGGGTAGCCTCAAAGGACAGGGGAGGATGCAGGGCCACAGGGTGGAGCTTGTCCAGGGCAGGCAGATGAGAGGCCTCTCCCCACTGGTTCTGCCTCGTTCCTCCACCTGGGACGGGCACAGCCTCCTTCCCACCCCAACCCAGGCCACCCCTCACTGGAGCCACTCAGGGTCCCCTTCCTCCTGCCTTAATGCTGTTCAACTGCCCTGAAGTATTTGTCCTGGGCTGTGGACGCCAAGGGCAGGGTCCGACCGGGTGAAATGCAGTTTCCTCCCAGGTCTGGGCATCCCCTGGTCTCTCATTCGAATTCCATTTCATTTCAGAATTCTGGTTTTCAACACACATCAGTCCTCGCCTCGGGGCAGCAGCTCCTCCCAGCACCCAGGTCAGCTGGCCTGGAGGGGGCTCCCACTGGCAGGGCCCAGCTCTCCCTGCAAAGCCATTTAGGAGGAAGGGGAAACTCCCCCAGAGCCCTGTGGGGAGTGAGGCGTTAACTCTAGCATGGTCCCTGGTCCTGGGGCCACAAGAGCTCAGGAAGGATTTTCCTGCCTCTCAGGGCCTGCTCCTAATCTGACTTGTGAGCTGGAGGCCTCAGAACTTGGAAAAAAAGAAACACGTCGTTCATGTAACAGAAATCAGATATGTCTTTCTGAGACAGCTCAGAGCCCAAGTGAAGGTGAAAAGTGAACGTCGGCTTTCTCTTCTTGCTAAAATTTCAAGTTCAGATTTTATGTTCTCAAATAATTTGTCGTGTAGATCAGGTATCTTAGGTCAAAGACGTGTCATGAACGTTCAGACACAGATGACAAATGACTATGAGAGGAACGGCATGTTGTTTCCTTAACAAATCCCAAGCAGCCCTGACACAGGAACCTCTGGGAGCTGGGCTAGGTCATAAGAGCAACCAATTAATTAGGCGGTCAGCATCCCTTAGCAGAAGGAAGGAAGTTCCCTGTGCGCGCTGGAAAAATAAATCCAAGGGAGCAAGCAGAGTGGGATGAAGGACCGCCTGGAGATGGTCACAGACTAACCCGCCTACGGTACCAACTCAACCCCACCCCAGGAATAAGTCAGAGCTGCAGTTGAACAGATCAACAAAAGCAAACACACAGAGCCTCCTGTGCTGCCGCAGTTCTCACAGCAACTTTCTCCGGGTGTAGACCGCTGTGTGTGGCTGCCTGGGGAATCCGGGGTCGTGACTTGAGACAGAGGGCAGGACACTCCGGACAGTTCTGGTGTCTAAATGGTGTTGGCTGCCCCCCCTGTGCCGTGCTGGGCCCCAGTGAGGGGAAGACGGAGAGGGAGGACCGTCCAGAGTCCCACCGTGCGGCGCTGGGACTATAGGAAGAGGAGGGTCTGAGCAAGTCCCCACCATCCAACCTCTGCTCCCCACACGGGGCTGGAGCACCTGCCTGGGGCCCCATCCTGTTCCCACCCACCTCCTGTCAGAACCCACAGGCTGGGGTGCTCAGAGACCCAGAGCATCCAGGAGGGATGGAAACCTCTCAGGACAGATGTCCAGGAAAACGTCACTTCTCTTAACGGCTCTCCTTTCTGGGGCTTCCTCGATTAGGATAACGAGGCTCCGCAAGCTTCCCTGCCTGCCAAGCACAGCGGTTGAAATTTTATATTAGAAACATTCATTTCCTCCCATAGTAGAATTATTTTTAAATTTTACTTTGAAGTGTGGTCTCTGCTTGAAATACAAGCCTAATTAGATCACTGTGTAATGTATTCAAACCGTAAGAATGAAAAGTGATTTGAAACCTCTCTCTTGTTCCCACACCCTTTATAATTCAGCAGTAAACAGCATATTTATGGGAGTGGGTGAACAGTTACCGGGTGCCCCACCGGTGCCAGACATTTATCAGGGACCCTGGGGCTCTGCGAGGAGCCAAGAAACCCAGGACATTCAGAAGCTCCTGCTTCAGGGGTGAGCACGGCTGGGCAGGCGGGGACGGGATCCAACACCAGAGAGGAGCTGGGGTCTTGCTGAGGACAGGGATGTCGGGGGAGAGCAGCTGGGGGCTCATCAGAGCAGACAGAAACCTGGGGAGGGGTGTCCAGTTGTGGGTGCTGCGGGCACCAGGGTGTTACCAAAGGCTTCGGTGGAAGTAGCGTTTCCTAAACATCGGCCCACCTGTGTGGCGGGAGGGGTGCAGCGGCCACAGCCTCAGAACCTGGCTCTCCACGGCCCCCTCATTTCTCTCTGAATTTTCCCAGGCTGCTAAGAGTGAAGTTGGGGTGGGAGGGACAGAGAAGGGTACCAACTAGGACTCCATTTGTCAGGGACAGAACCCATTTCAAACTGGCTTAAGAATGAAAGGGATGTATTGATTCATGCAACTCAAAGAGGGGCAAGGGTAGCTACCTTCAGGTATGGCTGGATTCAGGGGCTCAGGTGATGCAGCCGGGACCTCCCCCAGCCCTCAGCTCTGCCTCCCTCCATGATGGTTCCACGGTCGGTCAGGCTCCCCTTGGCATCTTCATCTGCATCCGATAGAGGTGGGCTCCTCCAAGGCAAAGCAAAGGCTGTTACCAGAGTTGGGGAGGAAGCTGGTGCAGAAACCAGTGCCCCTGGTGGACAGAAGGGTGGAGATTTCCCTGAGATGCAAAAGGCAGACTGAAGGGCACAGGATGCCGTGACCCAGATTGGTAAAGCCATCGCCGTCTGGTCTGCCTGGCCTGTGGGGACCCTCCTGGGCCTCAGTGCCCCCTCTGCAGCAGAGCCCACCCACCAGGGCCCACTGATCCCCATTCCCAGGGGCACAGGGCTCCTCTGCTGGAAGAGAGTTCTGGGCCAGTTTGTCTCTGGGGCACTGGGGAGGGCAGGGGCTGCTCCACCCACCCCGCTTCCCCGCAGAGATGCCCTGGAGCTCAGCTCAGGTGAGTTTCCGCCTCACGAATGAGGGGTCAGGTTCTCCATGGAGACGGCGCTGGAGATGCTGTGCAGCCGCTGAAACAGAGGCCCAGGAGGGTTATTTTATTGTCGTGAAGAACCGTTTACAAAACACCATGCCGTGAGAAAGTCGGGCTTAAGAATAACCTAGACATGGTGGTTACAATTTTTGTTAACAAAGAAACACATATCACTTGTCTGTATTTGTGCAACTTGGGAAAGCGTTGGCCATGGCTGGGGACATTTTTCTTTTTACTTCTCTACATTCTCTAAATTTCCTGAAATGATGAGTTGTGTTTAGAATAGGAAAATGTCGGGAAAGTTAATTTTAAAAGGAGAAACTGTAGGGCGGACAATTTCCCTTGGTGGGAGCAGGGCTTCTTCTAAGATGCCGCACCCTGGCTGGGGGCCCTGACCCAGCAGGAGGCCCGAACTTGGGGACTGGGACTGGGGAGGCCTCCCTGGACGAGGCGTCTCCAGACAGGAACAGAACTGAGTGAGGTTCATGAAAGAGTAGTCAGGCGTCTGGAATACCCAGAAAATTAGGCACCGGAAGACACCAGGGAGCAGGAGGGAGGCAGGAGAGCCCAGGAGAGGAGCCTGCACCAGCCCAGCACTGCTCACCCCACATGCTGCCCTTGCCTCCCAGTCCAAGGAAGAGATGAGACTTTCATGCTGGCCTCCCAGGTGCAGAAGCCTCAGGTGGGGGCTGCTTCCTGCCCCCACTGAGTGCAAACGCTGGGCCTGCACTGCCCATGCCTGCACCCCCAATGTGTCCAGTTGCTCCCCAGTTCTTTTAGTTTCTACACTTTAAAAACAGGGATATCATTCACATACCACATAATTGCACCAACTGCCCAAGTTAGTAGTTTCTAGTACATTCCTAAGGTTATGCAACAGTCATATTTTCATCACCCCACCCCCCAAAAATTGCATGTATTCCTCTCTCCATTCCCCAGCCCCTGGCAACCACCAGCTGTTTTCTGTGTCTATGGCTTGGCAATTTCTGGGCACCTTATAGGAATGGAATCGTACGGGTGTGGCCTCTGTGTCTGGCTTCTTTCACTTAGCAAAATGTTCTCATGGTTCATCCACTATGTAGCCTGTGTTGGTGCTTCATTCCCTCCTATGGCTAAATAACGTTACATCGTAGAGATGGACCACATTTTCTAATCCGTTCATCTGTCGATGGACATTTGTGTTATTTCCACCCTTTAGCTATTATGAATAATGTTGCCATGACCATTTGTGTATATTTGTGTAAACATATCTTTCATTTCTCTTGAGTGTCTATCTAGGAGTAGAATAGCAGAGTCGTGGGATAATTCTATGAGGATATCCCTAACTTTTTGGGGATAATTCTAACTTTTTGAGGAACTGCCCAAGTATTTTCTCTATTGGCATCACCATTTTACATTCCCACCAAGAATGAATAAAGGATCCAGTTCCTCCATATCCTCACCAATACGTATTTTTTATTATTTTATTTTGCTTTTTTTTTAATTACAGGCATCCCAGTGGGTATGAAGTGGTATCTCATTGCGGTGGTTTTGATTGAATTTCCCTGATGCTTAATGATGTGAATTTTTTCATGTGCTTATTGGCCATTTGTGTATCTTCTTTGGACAAATGTCTATTCAAATACTTTGCCTATTTTAAAATTTATTTTTCATTCTACTATTGAGTTCTAAGAATTCTTCATATATCCTGCATACCAGATACTTCTCAGATATTCTCTGGGTTGCCTTTTCACTTTCTTAATAGCGTTCCTTGATGTATGTATGTTTTAATTTTGACGAAGTCCAATTTATGTTTTTTCCCCTTGGTTTTTTTTTTTTTTTTTTTAAAATATCAAATCTAAAAAACAGTTGCCTAATCCAAGGTCATGAAGATTTGTACTTTTGTTTTTTTAAGGGTTTTATATTTTTAGCTATTATTTCTAGGTCTTTAATTCATTTTGAGTTAATTTTTCACACATAATGTGAGAGGAAGATCCAAGTTCATTCTTCTGTGGACTATTCAGTTTGTAGCTTTGCAGTAAGTTTTGAACTTGAGAGTGTGAGTCCTCCAGTTTTGTTCTTTTTTCAAAGTTGTTTTGGCTATTCTAGGTCCCTTGCATGTCCACATGAATTTTATTTTTTTACTCGTATAAATTTATGCAATTTATAAATTTATGGGGTAAACTATAAATTGGGGAACAAGTGCCATTTTGTTGCATGCATAGATTGCATAATGGTCAAGTCAGGGCTTTTACAGAATTAGAATCAGCTTATTCATTTCTACAAAAGAGACAGTTGGGGTTTTCTAGTGATTGCATTAAATCTGTATCAATTTGGGGCATACTGCCATCCTAACAGTATTCAGTCTCCCAATACACGAGCATGGGATGTCTTTCCATTTATTAGTTCTTTAATTTTTCAACAATGTTTCATAGTTTTCAGTATACAAATATTTCATCTTTAGTTAAATTTATTCCTAAGTGTTTTATTCCTTTTGATGCTATTATAGATGGCACTTATTTCTTAATTTCCATTGTAGTTTTTTCATGGATAGTATTTAGCAGCGCAGCTGAGATTGTGTATTGATCTTGTATTCTGCATCCTTGCTAATTTATTAGTTCTAATAGTTTGTGTGTGTGTGTGTGTGTGTAAGCGTTTTCTATAGATAAGATCATATCCCCAGCAAATAGAGATAATTTTACTTCTTCCTTTCCAACTCAGATGCCTTTTATCTCATGTCCTTACCTAAGTGCCGTAGCTGGAACTTCTAGTACAATATTGAATGAAAATGGTGAGCATAGACATCCTTACCTTATTCCTCATCTTATGGGAAAATGGTTCCATCTTCCACTCTGAAGCATGATGTCAGCTATAGGCTTTTCATAGATGCCCTTTAGCTGGTTGAGGAAGTTCCCTTCCATTCCTAATTGGTCGAATACTTTTATTATGAAAAAGTGTTGGATTTGTCAAATGCAACTATTTTTTTCCACATCTATTGAGATAATCCCATAGTTTTAGTTCTTTGCTCTATTAATATACTGTTATATTGATAGATTTTCTTATGTTGAATCAACACGGCATTCCAGGGGGAAAAAATCTTATTTGGTAATAATTTTTAATTTTTATTTTTATATGTTCCTGAGTTTAGAATAGTACCTTGTTGAGGAGTTTTGTGTCTATATTCTTAAGGCCATTGAGCTATAGTTTCCTTTTTTGTAATACTTTTGTCTGGTTTTAGTGTCAGGGTAATAACTGGCCTCAGAGAATGAGTTAGGAAGTATTCCATACTCACATATTTTAGGAGGGTTTTTGAAGGATTGGTGTTTCTTCTTTGAACACTTGGAGAATTTCTCAATGAAACCATCTAGTCCTGTAATTTACTTTGTAGAAATTGTTATTATTATTTATGAACTCAATGTCTTTACTTATTATAGGTCTATTCAAGTTTTCTCTTTCTTCTTGGGTCAGTTTTGGAAATATGCAACTTTCTAGGGGTTGTTCCTTTCATTTAGGTTTTCTAATTTGTTGGTGTACATGGTACATTGTATTTACTTATAATCATTTTTTTTTTTTTTTGAGATGGAGTCTTGCTCTGTCCACCCAGGCTGGAGTGCAATGGCACAATCTTGGCTCCCTGAAACCTCTGCCTCCCAGGTTCAAGCGATTCTTCTGCCTCAGCCTCCTGAGTAGCTGGGATTACAGGCACCCAGCATCATGCCTGGATAAATTTTGTATTTTTGTAGAGATGGGGTTTCACCATGTTGGCCAGGCTGGTCTTGAACTCCTGACTCAGATATCTGCCCACCTTAGCCTCCCAAAGTGCTGGGATTACAGGGGAGGGTCACTGCACCCAGCCATATTTCCTTACAATCTTTTATTCTTCATAAGCTTGGTAGTAGTGCTCTTCTTTCATTTCTAATTTTAATCATTTGAGTCTTCTCTCTTTTCTTGTGGGTCAACACAGCTAAAGTTTTGTCGATTTTCTTGATTCTTCCAAATGAGTAGAATTCCACTAATTTCTGCTCTAATCTGTATTCACTTTTTTCTTCTTCCTTTGGACTTAGTGTGCTCTTCTTTTCCCAGTTTCCTAAGGTGGAAAGTTAGGTTAATGACTTGAGATATTTCTTCTTGTCTAATCTAGATGTATGTGGCTATAATAAATTTCCCTGTGACACAGCATCCCATAAATTCTGGTATATTGTGCTTTTGTTTTTATCCATCTCAAAGTATTTTCTAACTTCCCTTATGATTTTTTTCTTGACCCATTTTATTGTTCAGAAATATGTTGTCTAATTTTCACATATAGACCAATTTACCAAGTTTTCTTCCATTACAGATTTCTAATTTCACTCCAGTGTTGTTGGAGAACTTACTTGGTATAATTTCATTCCTTAAAATTTCCTGAGACTTATTTTTTCACTGGAATAGGATGTATTCCTTGTACCATGTGCACATGGAGAGAACGTGTTTCCTGCTGTTGTTGGGTGAAATGTTCTGCCCATGGCCTGCCCCAGATGAGAGCCACTGGGTTACCAGGAGCAAAGGGCTCATCCGTAATTAGTCAGTTTGCTGGCTGCTGCAGATACTGGTTCAGTGATGGTGCCAGAGACACTAGGGGAGGAGCAGGCTTCCTGCTGAGAGCTGTGCTGGAGCTGCCCCTTGTCAACAGTTAGAATAACAATGGCTTTCAGCATGCAAACGCTGCAGCTGTGGGCCCAAGCAAAGGCAGGCAAGTCCCTCCCCCACAGTGCCATTCTGATATAACCACCTTCCAACCCTCCTGTGAAGCACCCTGCACACGAATTGGGAGCGGGGCGTCCACACCAGCCATGGGGTGTCCTCTGCACAGCTGTGCCTCTCAGCTCCACTGCCCCCTTCCTGCTTTGGAGTTATTTGCTTTGGAAGAAATTGCATTTTAAAAATAAAACAAAGAGCATTTGCAGTGAGAATGGGCTGCAGTAGGGTGAGCACTGATGGGAACTGAAGTCCACAAGCTGGCAGGTGGGGCCCTCGTCCCCCGGGGACATGGCACAGGGAAGCAGGAGAGGCGCCCAGGCCTTGTGGGCCTGAGGCTTATATGACTGGGAGGGTGTTCCTGGGGCAGACACTACAAACTCACATAGACAGAGTTGCAAGGGACCCTCTCACACTCTGCGGAGCCCCACGTGACACGGCAAGGACAGGAACTGCAAGCAGCTCCACTGCAGGGGCACCTGCCCCACTTGGGGCCATGCAGGGAAGATGCAGCCCGGCCATGCAGCAGCCCCCAGCCACTCCTCCTCACGTGCCCACCACAACTATCGCTTAAGGAACAGGTCTCCCGACCACAGTCACCAGGCCACACGCTCCCTCTGATGGCTCCCTTCCTTCCTGGGTCAAAGCCTGACACTCCCTGGCTCCTGCCCCCACCCCTGCCTCAACATCTGTGCCCAGCCCCACTGCTCCATCTGCTCCTTAAACCCCCAAGCGCCTTACCTGGATGTCATCGTGGTGGGGAAGGCTAGCGGGGAGCCTTAGAGGACACGACTTGTAAGCAGAATCCTTAAGTAAGAGTGGAATGTGGCCAGGTGGAAATCCGAAGGGAAGTGTCCGGCAAAGGCAGGCCTGAGTCCCAGGATCCCTGATGGTTAGGTGCTTGGTTGGCTGAAGACGGGTGTGGGCAGCTCCTGGTGAGGCAGGAGAGGTAGGCAGGGCCAGGCAGTCAGGGCCTGTTAGGACGAGAACTCACCCAGCCCGAGGAGACTCTGAGGAAACGTGTGATGCAGACAGACTTAAAACTGTAAGAGGCCCCATGGCTGCTCTGGACAGGGAGGGCTGGCGGGACAAGGACAGGTGGAAGTGCCATGGAGGCTGTTCATGGGGGTTCAGGAGAGTGATGAGGGTGGGCTGGCACTCAGGGGCTCCTCCAAGGGAGGATTATGAGAAATTCCCTTGGGGCCAAAGGGGATAGACATGTGGTTATGGGGAGGGTGGCCCAGAGACTCCCTCCTGAACAGTCACCAAGGTCCAGCTCCCTCGTGCATGGCGGAACCCAGGCCTGTGGGCGGCTGTTCCACCCCATGGGGTGGGGGCACAGGACAGGGAGGAAGCATTGGGGACCCCTCAGAGCCCCGGTTCAGTGAACCTCAGGAGCCCGTGCAACCCACAGCCTGTTCTGGAAATGGCAGTATCCACTCGGGGGCCCAGTGGAGAGCGGAGGGGGGCCGGGCTTTTCTCTGGGACCCTCTTGTCATCCGCAGCTGAGACCCCAGCCCAGCTCACTCCTGTGTCTTCTCGTCCTAATCTCTGATGTGAGTTCAGCAGGACTCACCCGACAGCCGGTGCTCTCAGATCCCTGCCCGTTTCCGGCCAAAAGAGCCTTCAGGACAGCTTGGCAGTGCCAGGAGTTGGGGGGCTCATGGGGACCACAAGATCATGGAGATGAGAGGGCAGGGGAGTGTGTACGTGTGTCTGTGCATGTGTGTCTGTGTATGTGTGTGTGTGCATATGTATGTGTATATATGTGTGTGTGTGTGTGTGTGTGTGTGTGTGTGTGTCCTTCCTGGAGCTTCTTAGTATAACTGCGAATGCCCCCAAGAGCAACCCACATGCCTGTCCTGGCCTGTGGCCCCGATGCCCTCCCATCCATGCCCTGCCCTTCCTGATCTGTTGTGAATTTGTAGAGCTGGGCTTCCCACACCCCTGGTCAGCTAGCCTCAGCTGGGCTCAGGCAGTGAGAGGCCCTGGTGGGCGACAGGGGGAGGGGAGAAGCCAGGCTATTCCCCATTCTTCTCTGCCTCAAGCACCTCGGGCAGCTACCTGTCTTCCCTGCGGCTCCATGTCTCAGGGGTCCTGGGGCCACCACACACTGCGTGATTACAGTGTGGACTCCATGGCTTATTACAGAGAAAAGTCATGTAGCAAGATCAGCAGGGGAGAAAGACCCAGAGTCGTCTGGACTGGCCAGGTGCAGGCTAGAGCTCCCCCTCGGGGAGGGTGCATCACACCGAACACGCGGCTTGCTCCAGCAGTGAAGTCAGCAGCACATCCAGAGTGTTGCTTCTCAGGCAGGCTGTGTAGGTCTCTGAGTTCGGGGCTTCTACAGAGGACTGGTCACATAGGCACCCTCTACCTGTGCAGCCACTGTGGTGACAGAAGTCGGGCGTGCCCTGATCACACTGCGGAGTCCAGGCAGCTGGTAGGGCAGGGCTTAGTTCCCTGAGTGCACAAATGACCTGGTCAACCAGTCACGCAGGAAACGTCCCAAAAGCCAAGTTCTCGGATGCTGGCTGGGGATCACCCGGATGCTGGCTGGGGATCATGGCTGCACACGGGCCTCTGTGAACACACGTGAGAATCAGGCAGCCGCCGGATGCTGGCTGGGGATCATTGCTGCACACAGGTCTCCGTGAACACGTGTGAGAATCAGGCAGCCTCCGGCCTGCTGTGTACGTCATTCCTGCACACCGAGGCTGCTGTGGGTCCAGCTTCCCCAGAGACCCCAGCCCTGGGCTCTGCCAGCACCACCCACCCCGCTCCATCCCAGGGACAGAGGCGCCACCTTCCTTCCTGGCCTCTGAGTTGCCTCCCAGCTCCTGTCTGACTTCTCAGCTCTCCCGTCCCCTCCGTCCACTCAGTCTCCTGTGTGGTAAATACATGAGTTCTCCAGTGAGGCCCCGACTGCTGCATCCTTGGATTAATTTAAGGATTGAGGACAGAGGCCAAAGAAGCCTGCATAGACCTGGGTATCAGACGCAGAAGTAATGGAGCATCAGTTACCTTAGTCACCACGTTCTCAGTCAGCGAGGTCAGGTGCACGTCCAGACCTGATGGACACTCCTTCACAGGGACCTCTTGTGCGCAAACAGAACTCTGTGGAGAGCAGCTTGGGGGCAAGGACAGGCTTCTCTAAAGCAGGGTGAGGCACCATGGTCACTGAGGATGCACGGTCCTCTCCTTGCCCTGGAAGCAGAGAATGGGAATGTGCAGCCGTAGTGAATGTGCAACCAACCCCAGGCCAACTCAGTCCCCTTAAGTTGCTGAGCAGCGGAGCCCCGACTGCCTCCAGCCAGGTTCTCCACCCACACCCCCAGTATTTGGGTCTTGGAGCGGTGCTGACGGCCAAGATGGGGAGGCCGTAGCAGGAAGCTAGACGTGGAGCAGGCATTTCCCAGCCTGGCAGAGCCACGGAGAGACCCCCAGTCCCCGCCGCCGCCACCAAGAGCAAAGTCGGAGCAGGACACGGTGGGTGGGGGTGGGGTTCCCAGGGTCCTGACCCTGAGGCAGCAGGACCCCAGGCCCAGCCAGGACCCCGCCTCCTGCCCATGCAGGCTCCTCCTTTCTCCAGACGTCCCTCAGCAAGGAAGAGTGGACCCAGACCGGTGGGAGCTATTTGGTCCAGACTCCCTAGCACCTACGCGGCTGGACCCTAAAGATTCCCACACAGTTCCAGAGGGACCAAACACATGCCCAGGTCCTCCAGAAGGTGACTTGAAGATACGAGTCCTAAATGAATGCAGAGCAGTTTCAATACAGGAGTTCACATGCATGCTCCCAACTGTTTCTAAATGTTAGGGAAAATCCCAACCTTTGTCTCTGAAAAACACCAGAGTGTGTTAGAGTCTTTTATAGTTCGTGATTTTGAAACACTCAAAGACAAATTGCCAGTTTGCCGTGTGTATTTCAAATCTACTTTCTGTTTATTTAATTTCTTGGCTTCTTTAACTTGAAGCTTCCCACCAGGGCTACAAACCTCTTTTTTACTACCGAAAAGTGTGACTACCCAGGCTGCTGAAGGGCACCCCTTGTCATCCATCTAGAAATTACCTTCTCTGCATGTTGCCTGGAAGCGTGGAGGGTTCACCATTGTAAATTATAGTTCAAATTACAAAACAGGGCCCCTATTGATTTCAGGTTCTACGTGTATAATTACGGTGCTTTTGCTAAGGACATAATGAAGAGAGGTGATCGTGTCATTCAAATGTGCTGTTTTTATACCCCGAAGAAGCCGCCTATGTGTAGTCATGACCGTCCTGGGTGTGGTGTCAGAGTGGGCTCTCCCTGGAGGACCCTGAGGCCACCCTACAGGGAACAGGTGGGGGGTTGCCGTGGCGAAATATTTCCTAATCACAGGCTGCCCTGCTTAGTCCTGGGAACGAGACACTTTCAGAGTTAACGCCACGAATACTATTCTTCCGCTCCGTAATGTTAGGACCAAACAAACCCTTGTTAATCTAATTGTTTGAATTATCCAGTTGAGATTCTGGGCAGTCTTGTTCTGTTTAATGACTGACAATTAGGCTGCAGTGGCGTTCACGCCGACAGGTGCTGGATCGCCCGGCGTGAGGCCTCTCCCGTGGCTTCCCTCCTGCCCCCTCCCCCCCGCGGATACGGCTCTGGGACCCACCTGCCCACGGAGGGAGCGTGGGAACACACCAGCCTCTGCACAGGGAGGTCCCAGGACTGACACCGACACGGAATCTCCTCGTCTTCCACGGGTTCCTCGGGTCCCCAAATCCAAACTCACGCCGGGAAGCCCCTCAACGCACTTTCGCCCTGGCCCGGGCTGCACAAATCCCAGGTGCTGCTGAGCTGGAAACACGCTCTTCCATGAGGTTCATCTTCTTCCGCGCCAATGACACCTTCACAGGGGAGGCATTCCGTGATGCGCCCCAGGCTCAGCACCTCCTGAGCAGCTGCGGGTCTGAGCCCTGCACAGAAGCTGGCGGGGGCTCTGGGGGTTTTGTTCACCCACACTGAAGGGCCCCGAGCACCTTCTCACCCACCCACCCACGGGGGTGTCATGAGTCCAGCCACAGGCCTGCCTGGGACTCCCAACAGTTTCAGAAGGAAATGAAATTTGAGGAGGTTCAAAGCAGTGATGGTGGGCGTATTCCCCATTTCCTCCTTTTTTAACACAATGAAAATGTAATTATCCTCCCTTACAAGAACCCCCAGCCACTTGAAGGACTGTCAGCCCAGCTGCGCTGTGACGGTCACATATTGTTTGCCTATGCCTTTTTACTGTTTTCACAGAAGGAAGCCGAGTTTCAGCTAGTTCCATTTCACCATCAAAGGCAGGGCATGAGGACGGGCGGGGAGAGAAATGTGGATGCAAAGGGGCGCCTGCCGCCTGTGTTCTCACAAAGCCACAGTGTGGACCTGCTCCCCTGCCCCCCAGCGCCAGCCTGGCCTGGGTAGGTGACCGCAGTTTGGAGGAGGGGATGGGGACAAGGGAAAGCGGGGTGGGGAGCTGACCCGGGGTGGGGTCCTGACAATTCCCTGATTAACTGGCCTGCAGATAGACAGGGCAGGTCTCCATGGAGAAATATACGTGGCTTATTTAATTAATCCTGAAAAGTAACTCCCCCAAGCCTTGCCCCAAACCGGAGTCCCCCTTCTAATGATGAGAATAGATCATTAAATCAGATTTCACGAAGTCTGCCCAGATTTTTCTTACTGAATTTCATGAAAGTGTTACTTTCAGGACTCTGCCCCGGTGCCCATGGTTCAGGGACATCCTACGAGCACTGGTTCCTGCTGCAGCATAGAAGGGCCTGGGGATGCCGTCTATGGGATTTCTGCTCCCAGACAGGCTGCCCCATCCACCGGTGCCCTCCTTGTGCCCCCACCCACCCCTGCTTCTCCCCTGCCCTCTCCATTCATCAGCGTGAACTGAGGACTCCACTCTTAATATTTAGCCAAGTCAGGCATTTTAAAATGCCATTCTCCTGGGAGGAGATCATTATTAAAAAGGGAATTAATTTATTCTGAAGCCAAATATAAACCCTCAGTCATCCACGGACTGCTCTTAGATGACTCATCTCCTGGTATCTTTTCCACCAGGACGAGTAAATGAGGCGAACCTAAGTGTGGGTGCACAGAGTGTCACCATATTCTGGAACTCGAGTTGTGTTTGGATCTGTTTTTCTCTGCTTTTCTGATTGACTTTTCCTTGCTCTCAGCTGTGCCAGGCAGAGCTAATGTCCATGCATTTCACAAACACAGGACAATTCAGAAGCTGTTCTTGCTAGGGGATGTGCCCGGAGAGGAAGATGCCAGCCAGGAAACAAAGCCAAGTTTTAAAAGCCTCCTATTTGTTTAACTGCATAAGTAATGCACATTCATTACTCATAAAGGCAGGAAGGGGAAGGGGTCAGAAAATACTGACAGGCAAAGAAAGTAAACCCTATAAATTTGTATTATCAGACAAATCACTGTGAACAATTAGGATTGAATTTTTACCATCTTTTAGAGTCTCACTTTTAAAAAGGCACACATAGAATGTAATAGACGTAACCTTGTTTATACCTAGATGGGACCACTTTATAAACAGTATTTTGTCACCTACCAGTTTCACTAGATCGCAGACACCATTGCTTCTAATTAACGCAGATCTGTGAGATCCCTGATTTCTGCAGAGCACTTGTCGGCCTCCGTCCTAGAGTGGAGACAGTTCCCTGTGTTCGGTTCTAAGGTTTTCCCCGTGTTTTTGGAATCCTGCACTGGGATGTAAGCAGTGTCCCTGGATGGCTCATGAGCTCTCAGCACAGTCCCTGGCAGTGGAGCGGACACTGTGCCTGATGACACTATGACCATCCTCCGCAGGTGGCCCGTTTCCATCACAGGGCTGAGAGGGGCTCTGGAAAGTTCCCTGGTCCCCCTTCTCTGCCCACGAGCTTCCCTGCCACAGCGGGCTAGATTTAAGAGGGAAATGGGACATGATTTAAGAGGGAAATGAGCCCTAGAGGGGCTTTCAAGCTGCAGGACAAGGCCCTGTTGTCCCAAATGTCCGCCCCTGGCAACTGTCCACTCTCCTCCCAGCCAGGGGGCAGCCCCAGAGAAGGGCCCAGCGATGTCCTCTCCTTGGGCTTCAGTATTAACTGAAGAAAAAGGGGTGCCCTTTAAAAACTTTTTAAGATGAGGAAAAAATTAAGTCAGAAGGAGCCAAATCAGGACTGAAAGGTGATGCCTGATGATTTCCCAGGGATGCTGTCAAGATTGTCCTGGTTTGGCCAGGCGTGGTGGCTCACACTTGTAATCCCAGCATTTTGGGAGGCTGAGGTGGGTGGATCATGAGGTCAGGAGTTTGAGACCAGCCTGACCAACATGGTGAAACCCTGTCTCTACTAAAAATACAAAAATTAGCCGGGCATGGTGGTGGGTGCCTGTAATCCCAGCTACTCAGGAGGCTGAGGCAGGAGAATCACTTGAACCTGGCAGGCAGAGGTTGCAGTGAGCCGAGGTCGCACCACTGCCCTCCAGCCTGGGTGACAAAGCAAGACTCTGACTCAAAAAAAAAAAGATTGCCCCGGTTTGATGGTAAGAAATAGCAGGAACATCGTGGTGGAGAAGGACTCTCTGGTGCTTTCCTAGGCAACTTTCTGCTAAAGTTTTGGCTTTCTCAAAACACTCTCATGATAAGCAGCTGTTACTGTTCTTTGGCCCTCCAGAAAGTCAACAAACAAAATGCCTTGAACATTCCCAAAAATTGTTGCCATGACCTTTGTTCTTGGGTGGTCCACTTTTGCTGTGACTGCACCACTTCCACCTCTTGGTAGCCATTGCTTTGATTGTGCTTTGTCTCCAGAATGGTACTAGCAGGGCTGTGTTTCATCTCCTGTTACAATTCTTCTAGGCAATGCTTCAAGATCTTGATCCCCCTCTGGTGTAAAATTTCCATTGAAAGCTCTGCTCTGGTTGGCAGCTGATCTGAGTGTGACAGTCTGGGCACTCATCAGGTAGAAAATTTGCTCAACTTTAATTTTTTGGCCAGGATTAGGTAAGCTGAACCAATTGAGATGTCTACGGTGTTGGCTATTTATGCTGCTAAGCACCAGTCCTCTTTAATTAGGGCATCAATGAGATTGATTTTTTCCTCTCAAACTGAGGTGGTCTGCTGCTGCAGGCTTCATGTTCAACATCATCCAGTTCCTTCTTAAAATGACTTAACCATTTGTAAATGGCTGATTTCTGCGGGGCATTATCCCCCTAAACTGTTTATAAAGCATCAATGACTTCACCAGTCCTCTACCTAAGCTTCACCACAGATTTGGTGTTTGTTCTGCTTCAATTTTAGCATAATTCACGTTGCTTTGATAGGGACTCTTTCCAAACTGATGTCTTATCTTTCTCAGTGTCTCAAACTAGATACTTTTCAGACATATTATAACAAGTTAGTATGAGTTTATTTTGGTGCAAAAGAAATTTGAAATTCATGCATAGTTTTTTTTGTAAGACACATTTTCCATAAACTTTTGAAAACACCTCATAAATATAACTGACTCTTGAACAACACAGGTTTGAACTGGTGGGGGG